GCAGCTTGGCCGCTGCTTAAGGGCTTGTGAGAACGATCATGTTTGTTATATATAATATAACATATATATATATATACACTGTATATAAATATAATCTTGTGGGAATGCGTGCGCTGGCCAAGGCAGCCACGGGTCTTCAATTATTTACCATTTTCAGCAGGACTGACAGTCCAACTGCACCAGACATGTATGACATGTCGTCCCTCGTCTACAATTCAATCCATGGGAGGACCTCGTCGCTGTTTGGGCGACAAATTTTCGCTGCTGGAGCAACGAACGCTGCTCCTGAAGCTTCTTGTTCTGGTTGAGTCGTGGAATACGTTCGTGTGCGTTTGCCACGTGATCCGATTGAGCTTTCATGTGACACCCGACAACCCAGTAGAGAGAGAGAGAGAGAGTGAGAGCTGTCTGTGACCTCTTCAGCCACTCAATTGCCCATTGTACGAAATGCTACCTAAGTTTTGAATCTGCAAGTATAGTTAGTTGGCATACTGTAGTAGCTTCTTGTTACTGGTAGTAATGCCCATGTTACTAGCTGCTTCTTGTTACTAGTAGCGTGCACTTGTTGCTAGTTGGAGCATTTTTAGTGAATCTGCTTGGCGAGTGTCTTAAGCACAACATGTGTGCCTCTTTTCTGTTTGAATCTCCAAGCGCAACTCTTTGTTGTTATCCGAGGCTGTTAACACAGTACGAGGCAGGATGGTAGTCAAGTTTATGTCGCATTTTGCGCTCTACTCTGTACTCAATGATCACAACCACCAGCTATGTATGACTGGAAGCTACTCCAGGTCCTACCTCATAAGGACATGGCCAAGCAAGAAGACAACTTCTGCACATCTCCCATGAGCTTGATGCTTTTGCAGCCAAAGGACCCGGCCACGAACTGCTTTTTGGCAGTGGAAAGAAGAACGTCATGTTTCAGTGAGCTACTAGTAGCGTCCTTGCTCCTAGTAATGATACCCTTTGCTCCTAATAGCGTTCTTGTTCCTAGTAGTAAGGCCAGGAGCGCCCCGTTCGTAGCGTCCTTGCTCGTCCCATGATTACTGAGCACTCTTTGAGACTTGTGTATGCGACCATGGGACACCTCCCATCTCGTGCCTGGGCTCAAGGGCTGCAAAAGGAATGGCTGTAGTGGATGTCAGTGATTCAGAAGGTTCTGAGAAGTCAAGGTCAGATCGACATGCAGGCGTTACAGTCTTGGATCAAGATGAGGAGAGGGTCCCGGCTGAAGAAGAAATAATAGAATATGCAGAGTACTTAGGAATTGACCTGGAAAAGGAACAGGACCTGCTGTGGATTGCTCGAGAAGG